TATGGTTTCTAGGTCGTTGCTCGTAGGACTATTAATTAACGTATGTTTTATATCTTTGTGCACTAGGCCTCGTTCCTGCCTCGTCCCCGCCTCTCCCCGTTTCTCCCCGCCTCTCCCCGCCTCATCCAGTCGTTCTTGGCCTCGTTCTGGGAGAAGCCGGCGTTGCGAAGCCCCTCGCGGTGACCTCGAGCGCCTTACAGCAGGTAACGACCTCGTCACTCTCCGCTCGAGGCCAAGTGTCCGCACGCTCACTCGATCATTCGCTCGTTGCGAAGCCCCTTCAAGACGCCCCCGCCGCGCCGCTTTCTTACGCGGGTTTCGCCCACGACACGACGCGCCGTGGCCCTTCCTCCGGGTGGTCGATCGGCCCACTGAAACCAAGAGAAGGCCATGCTCTCTACAATTTATGTGTGTCGTGTTTATGTGTGTGATATACCGGTACATTTTAAAATATGAGCAGAAGGCTTTCATAATAAAATAACTCAAAAATAAGCAGGCGTAATATTTTATTGAACCATGTACTAAACGTTTCTTTTAAAACTACTCTCAAAGTTATTTGAAACAGTTTCTTTAATTTCGCTGGTTATCACTTCCAGGCATCCCAAACTGCATGCAGGAGCTACTTGCCCGCCTGGGGAGCCCAGAGACTCCTGAGATCACGTGAAACATCCCTGTGTCCCCTCTCTCATTTTCCAAAAATCCAGAAAGCACTGTACACATGCCAGCTGATTAGGCGCGAGAAAACATAGGAAAACATTTTCCCAGATTTGTTGCATCAAAAAACGGAGTTTTCAATTATGTTTATATTCCACACTATTTATTACTTATTTAGTCTTTTAGAAAGATTTTTGCCAAGAGACTATTATGTGTTTCTATGGCAATTTTTTTGTGTCGCTTTACTAAATTATTTATTAATTTTTATATATGCCACTTATGCGAAATAAATCAACAAATCTCTATGAGTGATCTCCTTAAGAACAGAGAGACCATAATACAATAATATTTCTCTTTTAAACTTCCTAACCTGAACGTAGGAAGTCCATTGAACTCTTTAAGTAAACAAGATTAAAAAGAATCAAGATACTTTGGAATCAAAACATTTAATTCTGCAGACAAATGGAAATTTTTAATGTGAATGACGTATTACATTTTAATTGATATCTTTACTTTAGAAGAGGAAATGGGAATTGATACACCTAAATAGGGGGATATAAGTGTTAAATAACTTCTCCAAAAGGTAAGTATGGACCAGGTATCCAGTTATATACTGTCATTCCGGAACATTTTGTACAACGCTACTTTTAAATCTCGTGCCATTGTCCTGGAGACAATTCCCCTCAAACGCTCGTAATATAGTTACCTTGCCCGTGACCTTGACATGCCTGATTTTTGCGATGGTTTGATTCATACACAGATTAATCAAGTATGTGTTATAGAAATTTTAAATAAATAAGGATTTTAGAGTGAACATATATTTATTTTCGCATCTCTTAATCACGGTTTATTTAAAGACATAGTTGATGTCTTTAAATAATAAATATGCGTATCTGTCTATGATTATAAAATATCCGCATTTTTATAATCTGATTAGTCTTATAATCTTATTTAGATAAAAACCACTTCCATTGTTTTTACATTTTTTTCTGTCAGTATGCCTGTCCGGAGTAATCTCTGAAACCGCTGAACTAATTTTGGCGTCGTTTCCACTGAAAGGTAAGGTGTGTTTTCGGGCCTAACTTAGGCTGCTTTTTAAGGAGAAGATTTAAATTTGGATCATGTGCCTTTAAAACAAGAAAAAAATACTCTCAAATTTTTATCACTTAAAACCAAATTTAGGCGTGAACTCTTTCCATTTTTTGCAAATATTTCGAAAACAACATTTACCAAAGTGAACGTAACATTTCAGAAATCTCATTAAATTCCTTTGTAAATGTATTATTTTTTTCATTCCAATAGTTTTACAGTATAAATGTCAAAATTGTTACCGGACGTTTCGTGGGATGTGCAACAATGCATGTGTTTACAGCTGCCCATTGCTAGGATGGTGGCAACATCGGTGATAATATCAATGGTGGCAATGTGGAGTGGGACATGGCGGGAGGGAGCGGGGGGGGCAGGGGAATTCAAAATTCAAAGAATTCATTCATTTTCCTGTCTAATACATGGTTATCATTAATAAATACCCCAGCAACGCAGGGTACTTCACCTAGTGTTGTACAAAACACCCTGCAGTAGATAAGCGCGCACTTAAAATACGCTACCCTTCATTTTACCTCCCGAAATATTTGCCGCTTTTGCTCTCATGTTATTTCTGTATATTATAATTTTTTGAGGTACCTATTATCTACAAAAGTTGGGAAAGAAGAGAAATTTATGGTTAAAACGATGTTTTCTTACATCTTTTTCCTTGCAGCTGTAATAAAAGAAAATGTATAATAAAGTCACAATTATTCAATCAACTACATGTAGTACTTTTTTTAACTCCTGACTAATTACCTTTGCTAACTTTGTAATAAAATATTTCAATTCTAATTTTGGAATTGAAACGCTCAGAATGCAATGTAATACTTGTCTGATGTAAAATACTTACAGATGCAGATAGTTAAAAACTTGTGAGAACATTCAGGACCATTAACAAGTTCTGCACTGTCATCTTTCTTCCTTCTTGTCTACGTGATTCTTAGAAATGTCATTCAAGTCTTGGAAGACCTTCATGAATATTGAATCTTATCATTTTCGAGAAAGCCGCTAGCGCTGTTTCAATTTCAATCGAGAGCTCAAAGGGGAAAGGAATGATGGAACTTCAAAGTGGATTAATTTTCCATAGAGATGTTTTCATACATCTTTTGCTTTGAAGCTGTAATAGAAGAAAATGCATAATAAAGTCACAATTATTCAATGAACTACATGTAGTAATTTTTTTTTACTTCTACCTGATTACCGTCATTCATTTTTAAATGAAGTCACTTGTCGCTAAAAAATTTTACTTTTTGCTTACAAATTTTTATAACTTTTAAATTTGCTTTGTAAATCAATGCTTCGTGTGCCACTACAAATATGTTCAATTAAGCGTTTTTAATTAACGTCTGGCAGTATTACTTCAATAAATTAAGTTCATAAGAACCCTATTAGTTGCATTAAAAATTGTAAATGTTTAAAACAACGCAAACTTGTTTGGCTTCATGAAACAAATCTCTTTATTTAGCGAAGCACTTGATATTAATTTATAACCTTGTGATTATACTGCATTATTGCAATGGGAAGTAGAGAAATTTAATATAACGTTTTAATTGGATCCTAATGATCATATTAACTAACTCATAGAGTGCAATTTTACGTTTAATAAGTATTTTACTCGATTTACACATTATTTTTTTAGGATTTGCATCAATGTAATACTCGTCACCATAATATTGTTTAAAATGAAACTTTTTGTAAGAAAAGTTGATAATGTGACACGGTTTTAAATACCATTTCATCATAAATGAAATCGTTGGGATAGAGAGAATATTGACTGACCTGAAATGTAAGTAAGAAATTTCTTCTGCCAAAATAATGAACGGTAAGCTTGAAGGAAATTTCGGCGAATTTGACCAAGAGATTGTAATCAAAAAAGGAATGTGAGGCTTTTTATAATTTATAAAAGCATAAAAATAGTGGAAGTAGAAGACTGTATATCAAAGAAGAAAAAGGAACAATGAAAATAATGGCAACTCTTGGAACCATTGAAACATTGAAATAATTGTCATTGAAATAAGAACTATCGACGTCATTATAAGAGTGAATGGGCAAATATAAATAAAATTTCAGATGAAAAGAGGAAAAGAATAGCCGATCTCTATCGATATCTTTACATCTTGATTCTGAAATGTTAACCGGATACCTCAAAGTATACCTGAATATAGTCGATACACTTATAAAATTGAATAAAGTAAGAAACTTGAAGCTCAACATAGCTCCAGTAGATGGAGCAGAATATTGATAATTGCAAACCAAGACACATAAATCCAATTTTGAGGAAAATGTTAGTGTAGCATTTGAAAACTAAAGGTAGTTTTTAACACTTCATCTAAAAAAGAGAAATCATATTTATTCAAAGGAGGTTAAACAAATGAGAAATTTAAAAAGCAAAAGAGACAGGAGAAGAAATTCAGATTGTCCAGCAAAGGAGAGGGAAATGTAGTGAATTAAATAAATCTAGCCTTTCAAGTATTTTAGTGTGAGAGGAGAGAAGAAGTCGGAAGAAACGAGGAACGAAAAGTTTGAAAAGGCGATAACAGGCGTAAACGCAATACTCAGAGTGTAGATAAAGCCGCGAGTTACCACGACTCTCCATACTTTATTCTGGACCGAGAACATGGGTAGAAGAGCTGCCTATTTTCTACGTGTGGTGAGAGTGGTGTGGAGAAAGTATAAGTTTAAAGGTAGAACGTAGAATGGAAAAATAAGAAACAAAAAAAATAGAAATCATGTCATTTCAAAAGTGACTAGGCAAAGATCTAAGATATCAAGCTAAAACAGGTGAAGATGTGAAGCAAGAAGCAAATTAAGCATAAGGATATTTTTGCAAAACACGAGCCAAATAAAAATTAAGATCGTTAGAATCCAACTGTACTAAGGAAAAAAGGTATAGCTACAAATGCAAATACTAAATTCCGCAATCTCAGTCAAGCGAAACTATCCACAAAGTGGCAACCAGTATGCCTCCATTGCTTCGAGGGAAAAGCCTTGCACTGCGCTGCAGAGTGACCTTGTCTCTAGCCATGTAGGCGCTGCGGTAGTTTCAGGGACAATTCTGCTCGTGACAGGCGTGAGTGCATTGGGTAGGATTGGCATGCTAACTAAGGGCGTGGGCCTGGCAGCAAGGACTGGGTTGATGATTGATTCAGGAATGAAGCCGGCGTGAGCAAGTTCGTGCAGGTGAAATCAGGATTGGTCCATGCGAGCGAACGGCGGCGCCGAGCGCGGCGGCAGCGGGGCGGGTGCTGAGCGGGCGGGCGAGCGGGGCGGTGCGAGCGCGCCGAACAGCCGTCTGGCCGGTCGAGCGCGGCGGAGCGAGCCGGGGCGCACGAGCGGCGGCGAAACCCCGAGCGGCGCCGCCGCCCACAGCCCAATTTCGCCCATGACCTTAGCATCGAAAGCAGAGCGTTGTGCTCCCCGCAACTCTCTTCACCCCGCTCATAAACATATTTCTCGATATCCACTGGCAACTCTCTTGGGCGAGTGCCCCGCCGTTCCCTTCTTAATGCCTAAACGAGATCGTCAGCTGCAACCAATTGAGTCATCTTTCGTATCACATGCACGCTTTCTCGTATCGCGCGGCAAAGTATTACGCAGCTCTCGCATCTCTCGAACTTGTATTTCTCCCAAAGCCGAATGCGTTTTGATATATCTAATTGTTCCATTTCGCAAAGATTATATCGATGTCATTACAATTACTTTTCCTATAATTAGTCACCATATAAGCGGGAGGCATTAATAACGTAACCGGGTAATGTTGAATTCTCTGCATACATCTCCTACCAACTAAAATTCCATAGAAAATTCCATAACCTGCACCCCCCTTCGGAGTGTCACCCACATTCCATTTTCCATTTTACAGCTAATTTAACCATTTAAGGGTATCCCTTTTTCGTGGCTAAAGTGAGCTACCCGCGCTAAGCTTGAATTCTCTACATAATCCTCCATTTTGTTTACTTACTTTTTCTATAGTTATATCTACATACGTTGCGGAACATAGTCCGTCACGCATTAATTACGCTCGTCGAATGCTCACTTCATCCGTACGTTGCACAAGCAAACTCCCAAACCACTCCACCTCCACTATACTTCATTTGCGATACACACAATACGAACTTTATTGCCGAATTTTTTTCTTTTATCCTTATAAACTCTACTTCAAACATATTCAATTACTTTTTTGTGGCATTACAATATATACTATCTCACAAATGCGAGGAGATGTTTATATACTGACTACCTAATTATTGTCCCAAAACTAACAACTTATTATTATTTGGTTTAATGTTAACATAATTTCAACAATCTGCTGAATTTCTTCACAAATGAAGAATAAAGATAGACTTTTATATAATCTTCGAGCAGTATTTTGGGTTATATACAATAGTTTATATATAAAATATCTTTAATGGAAGAATAAAAAAGGGAGTAGCAATTAAAATCGGGCGGAGATAATTTCGCAATTGTATTTTCAAGAATATCCCTTTCGAATCTGGGAAATAGCCTATCCGAGAATCCCCACGCCGAGCAAATATACTTTCCTCTACAAAATGTGAGAGCCTCAAGGAGCTGAGATGACAGTACGATCCGCCGAGCGTTACCATGGTGACGAATCAGGTCGCCCGACCAACACTACGCGTCACGGTTGCGCGCATACAGCTCTTTGCTTCTGGCCCGCGTGTGAGCGCGGGCGTGACGGGCGCTGACGGCATAAGCCGTGGGTCGGGTCGCCAAGCGATGAGCCAACCACAATACCGACAAATTTCTCAGCGGGCGGCGCGCCACCGACCGGAGACAGGCGTCCGAGAAGGACAGCGAATCACCCGTGGTTGGGGCCTATCCGATCACGGGGTAGAGACCGTCGACGAGCCGGGAGGTTAAGCCGATTTTGGTAACGTGACGTTGGAACCTGGCGAGACGAAGCGGCAGATGAAAGTCTGCGAAGTTGAAGCGCGGCAAGTTAAGTGTAAATTGTAAGCGCCCGCAGGTTAAGTGATAAGCAGGACAAGGTAAAGCGGGTCGGTTGGAAAGGTAAGCGGCGAGATGAAGCGAGAGAGTCGAAACAGGATCGATTAACGGAAAGTTATGATACAGGACTTTGAGGCGGAATCGTAAGCCGGCGAGAGCGAAGCGGACGTGTGAAGTGAAGAATGAAGCGGAAGTAAGTTCGGGAAAATGAAGGAGAGTGAACGCGGCAGAGTTATCGTGGAATGGTGGTAAAACGGAGAGTGACGGTGAGGGTGAAATCGGGGATCCGAACGAAATGTAACACTGGAGTTCGGCAGTGAGCAAGCGCCAAACCCTGTAGGCTGACCGAATGTAAATGGGAGGGATCGTGAGGGTGACGTGGGAGAGTAGCTGGAGCGCCGATGAGCGGGGAGGGAACGAGAGGGGTGCTGGATGGGAGAGCGGGGAGGGGTACCTGTGAGGGCTGACGGACGGCAATGAAGCGGGCAGGGAGGCGCGGTATGATATCTGCGCGGTCACCTCCTGTCCGACGCGCCTATCGGCACTCGCCTCGCCTTTGTCCACCTGACCTTATCTCTCGTAATTTGCCCGTCCCCCGCGGCCGCCCGCCGCCTGCCGCCGGCCCTGAGCGCCCCCCCCTCACCCCAATCACCTCCATACATCCCGAGGCCCTCCAACAGGTTCTCGCCATCTCTCTGGCGACGG